AAACACTAAAGTGGGGTCTGACATCAATACGACAACCAAATTCTAATATCCTTCCAAAAAAAGCTTCAATTGTTCGCAGGAACATTTTTTGGCTCATTGCCCCCGCTACCAGAGTTTAGCACCAGTTGAGAAATATAATTTGGTAAAACAGCATGAGCTCTGCATAAATTGCTTAAGTTCTCGTCATTCAAGAAAGAATTGTACTTCAGAGAGACGATGTCAGCAATGTAGAGAGTTCCATCATACTTCACTTCATGATCCATCTCGATTTACTAGCGAAAACAGTGCATCATATGCAGCAATCGTCTCAGGAAAAAACGAAGATGATAAAGAATTTACAACCGCAACCTCTAGCAGATACGGCCAGTCGCATAGCATTGACAAAAACACATACCATCAACAAAAACAAGCGGACAGTGAAATTCATTTTTTTTAAAATGGAGGGTTTACTGCTTCAGAGAAAGCAACATTTGAACGGTTACCCAACTTTTGGTTCGCACAATTACAGTTGATCCAAGTGTCGTTCGTCAATAAGGGTAAAGTGTGTGACACTTACGCTCTCATTGACCCTGGCAGCCAATTCACTTTAATGCTTGATCAAATTGCAGATTTCTTGGAAATCTCATCATCGGAAACAGCAAACATGTCTTTACAATATATAAACATCAACCATCAGATGCCGGTTGCAAAATTAGACAACATCGTTAATTTAACACCGAACATTTAAACGGGACAAACGTTTCCAATTCGTAATGTTTATAAAACGCCATTTTTGAATATACCTCCTGCAGATGTTGCTCATCTGAATGAAATCTGTCAGGGTTTCAAAGATTTTAGACACATAAAATTTCCCAATATTGCTGGCGGAAGAATTGGAGCGCTACTTGGCGTTAATACGTTCTCCTATACGTACCCCATTCAAGTATTTGAAGGAAATGATTGCCGACCACACGGAATACAAACTCGACTGGGCTGGACAATTGCAGGAGAATATCATCAAACAATTGCTCCCACGCGGAAGAATAAAGTGCGCAACAGACAAACTTCGCGATTTGTTTTCCACGTTACAAGAAAGTCAAATGAATCTGTTGAGCAACCATTGGACTACTTAATTCAGCAATTCTGGAAAATTGAAGAAACTGGAAAAAAAACAACAGAAAAGGAGTTTTGTACCGAAAACAATTTGGCGGCAATTCGGATCCTTGAAAACACAATACATCACACGGGAGAAAGGTATGAAATTGGTTTACCGTGGAAGAATGAGACTCAATTGCAGAATAACTACTACATAGCACGTAATCAACTAAAATCACTTGATCGCCGAATTGCTTAAAACAACGAACTACGAAATTTATACGAAGCAACCCTCGTAAATGACCTCGAAAAGAAACACGTGCGACCTGTAGAAATGAAAAGAATAAAATCCTCGCGAATTTGGTATCTACCACATCACCCACTACAAAACCCAAATAAACTAACAAAAATCAGAAGAGTAGCCAACGCCGCATCTCTTTTTAAAGGCCAATCACTTAACAACAATCTCCTCTCAGGTCCAGATCTACTTGCAAATCTGACAGGGATTCTGCTGAGCTTCCGCAAACATTCTATCGGTCTTCTTGCCGATTTTGAAGGGATGTTTATGCAAGTAAGTATTCGTGAAGAAAAAAGGCCAGCCTTGCGTTTTCTCTGGAATTATAACGGAAAAGTTCATCAGAATGAATACACGCGGTTAATATTTGCAGCCACATGTTCCCCATTCTGCGCTAATTATGCATTACAATAATGCGCTTTGGACAACAAAGACTCGTTTCCTCTGGCTTATGAAGCAATTTTAAACAGTTTTTATATGGATGACTACATTGCCTCAGTACCGACCGACGTTCGGTGAAGCACAATGCGTTTCAAGAGAAACCAGGGAGTCTTTAAAGCAAGATGGTTTTCTTCTCACCAATTTCTTATCTAGCAACAAGCTCGCCCTGCAGCATATTCCTTGCGAGGACCAAGACGAGATAAAAACTTCAACTCGTGTTCTTGGACAAAACTGGAAAATTAACAGTGATGAGTTTTTTGTTGATCCCCTTCAAAACTTTCCTACTCTGGCTGATAATTATACTCAACGGAAACTCTTCAGCTTATCGTCGTCTATTTTTGACCCTCTAGGAATTATAGCACCAGTAACAATTCGTTTGAAGGCTCTACTGCAGCAGATTTGGAGGCTACGTTTGAAATGGGATAATCAGATACCTAGTGACCATCAACACAAGCTATAGAAGTTCCTGGATTCTTTTCTCAGGATGGAAAGAATAACTTTGCCAAGAATTTTGTTTCCAAATCAAAGCAATAAATCGTGGAGTTTGGAAATACACGCATTTACTGACGCTTCACTCATCGGTATGGCCGCAGTCCTGTTCTTGCGAATGCATAATTTAGACGAAACAGTCATTGAATGTATGATTTTGATTGGCAAAAGCAAGGTTGCGCCTATTAAACAAGTGAGCGTACCAAAACTTGAATTAGAGGCTGGAGCACGTCTTTTGTCATTTGCATCCAAAGAACTTCATCTCAACAGAACAGACAGTCAGGTAGTACTTGATTGGATAAAATCAACGAAACAGCAGAAAATATTTGTGGCAAATCGACTGACTGAAAATTCAACAATGGATCATCAACTACAATGGCATCACATTCCAACTACTCTTAATCCTGCAGATCACGGTACTCGAGGTCTTGAACCCAGGGAAATTAATGAAAAATTGATTACACCTCCAGCCTTCTTGAAACAACCTAAGTATCTTTGGCACGATAATTCTTTGCTTGCAACAACTGTGGTTGCTGCGGGTTTTCAAAGACAGACCAAGCATAAAAAATTGTCTCTAAATGAGCCAATTTTTGACATTAGACAATTTTCTACCTGGAACAAGCTGATTTTGACTCTTACCACAGTCATGAGTTTCATTTCCAAACTACAAATTAGGAATTTCAACAGAAAAACCAATCAAAACCCATCCTCCAGTGATGAAAAGGAACAAATTTTATGCAACACTTCAGATGTTGAAAAAGCCAAGCTATACGCAATCAAAATTTGTCAGGCTCAGTCGTTTCCTAATACTATCAAAAAAATAGAAAACAGAAGCAAAATTGATAATAAAGACAAATTGGTTCAATTGAATCCCTTTTTGGATCAAAAGACAGTTCTAAGAGCTCGAGGTTGTCTTGAGTTTTCATCTTGTATGAAAGAAGATGCAAGGTTTCCGATAATATTGGATGCAAAAAATGCGATAACAAAATTGTACATTGAACATGCACACCATATTCGTGTACATCAAGGATCAGAGTTTGTCAAATCCTTCATACAGCAACGCTAATACATTATTGGTGTACGACTGGCTCTACGCAGTGTACGTTTTAAATGTTTCATATGCAGACGGTTCGATGCACAAAACCTCCAGACAAAAGTGGCACCCCTACCAAGCTCAACAATTCCACAGTTGAACACTCAGTACCCTTTCATCAGCACAGGAGTAGATTTCTTCGGGCCATTCTTCATTCAAAACAGAAAGAAAACAGTGAAACACTACGCTATCATACTTAACTGCCTGACAACTAGAGCAGCCCATTTGGAGTCTTGCCCAGATTTGAAAACTGATACCTTCCTTAATGCACTTGCCCGGTTTACAGCCAGAAGAGGGAGCCCTAAAACAATTTCCTGTGACAATGGAAAGACTTTTGTAGGAGCTGGTAATGAGCTAAAGAAATGCCTCAAAGAACTAGATAAGAACAAAACTGAAGCCAAGCTAGCAGTCAACGAAATTGAATGGGAATTCAAGCCGCCTTATTACCCTCATCTTGGCAGGTCCTGGGAGCGATTAATCCAAATCGCTAAACGCACAATTCTGATTATTCTTGGCTCTAAGAAGCTTACGCTTGATTTTTTCAATACCATTCTCACGGAAACAGAAACAATGTTAAATTCAAGACCTCTAACAAACGTTGCCGATAACACAGACAATGAGGAACCGCTCACCCCTAATCATTTTTTAATTCAAAGTCCTTTCAGCAACCTACCACCCGGAACTTTTGACGATCGATTAACACGATGTGGAAATTTGTAAACGAGAGATTTTCAGAAATGACAACGTGCACGTGGCAATTATTCTGTGATTGTATCACGTGCAGAAACAAGTGGACATTGTTTTAGAGAAGACGCCGGGACCAAGAATCCCAACAGCAGTGCTGTGAATCCCCAACAACAACAACAACAACAACTCCGTTTTGAAAATTGGTCTCAACAACAGCAACTACTCAACCATTTCTGGCGAAGACTACAAAAGGAATATTTACCGACCCTGTCGAAGCGAACAAAATGGAATTTTGCAGAAGAACCGCTGAAAAGGGGATATGTAGTCTGGATTTTCGGACGCCGCGAGGAATATGGCCTTTGGGACGAGTCACAGCTGAACATCCTGGACGAGATGGAACTACTCGAGTCGTGACCGTAAGGACGGCGTACGGAACCTTTGACCGCCCGGCTAGTGCACTCGCACGCGTTTTTTCGTTCGACTCGGAAAATACCTCGACTTGAACTCGACTCGGGGCCCGGGAGCATGTTGCTGAAGCAACTTTCCCGCACTATGATAAATCATCGAATAAGTCAAAAATTGATTCTGAAAGTCACTGCGATTTGTAACATACCCTTGAAAAGTATGAATTAAAACTTCGTGAATCTTGTTGATAAGAATTATTATCATTACATAGGGCTTTGCCCCGATGTCAGCAGTGTTTTTACAAAGTCAGTTAAAAATTGAAATCTCACGTTAAATTTCAAATCTAATTATTGTGATTCAATCTGCTGGAGAAATAACTAAAACGACAAAAAAGCGGAGAACGACCAGTAAAAACTGAACATTTAAGACATCAAAGTAACAGTCAGAGGTTTCCGTACTTTTAGCTTAGCTAGATGCTATCATTTTTTTTAGTTGATGTTTTCAATTTAATTTTAGGTACCAGAGAAATGGGCCCGTTTTTCGACATCAGAAGTTGGTTTGATGCACGCCTCATTTTTCTGGGGTTATCTTCTGACACAAGTTCCTGGTGGTATATTGGCGCAAACGTTTCGGCCAAACAAGTAATTTTAGTAAATCTTGAAATTAGAAGTTTTGCAGCTCAGAATAATCTTTACAAGTTTGCCATAATTTACAGAATATTTGCCACTGCATTGATTGGCACATCATTCTTGAATCTGCTAGTGCCAAGTGCTCTACAAATATCATCAGAGCTCGTCATGTTTATTCGATTTTTCCAAGGACTAGTTGAAGGGGGAACTTACCCTTCATGTCATGGAATTTGGAGCAAATGGGCACCTCCCTTAGAGAGAAGCCGACTGGCTACTATTGCATTTAGTGGTTCGTATCTTTTTGTTATGTTCAGTAAGACTGAACATTTTAAATAAGAGGCAGAGGTTCATTTAGTCTGACTTCACTTTTGCGTCAAAAAAATTTGATAGAATAGTGAATGAATTGTTTGGCAGGTTCTTATGGCGGTGTTGTACTCGGAATGGTCCTTAGTGGTTATTTGACTCAGTTCATTGGCTGGGCTGCACCCTTCTACTTTTACGGTAAGCATTTCGATTACAAAAGTCCAGACTATACAAACTAGCCGTTGCATTAGTACAGCATCTGCAGAATTCATATAAGTTACATAGTCAGATTAGTTATTCAAATATATTTTTGGTTAAAATGAGTTGAATCATTTATTAAAATGGGATGAAATTATTACATCAATAAAATCATCTAATTCAAATTGTACAGCCTCTAAATATAGGTCTTGTTTTTTTTCAGGAATAAGTTTTGAAATTTGTTCACGCTCTTGAACAACGTGACCGACTTCTAGTTTCACAAGTGGACTCTAATTTTCAGATTTCCATCGGTATAAAAATTTACCTACTGATCCAGTTTTCTAATGTTATCAAAACAAGCACAAATCATAAATTTTTTTTGACATTCAAAGAGGCATATATTTTATAGAGTCAAGTTTTTCAAACACAAGTTAGTTTTTTCTATTTCCTTGCGTTAATTTCTCTGTTCCAACCATCAGTTGGCTATGTTTTTTTTAAACCTAAGGCACAGCTTGCTTCAACTTACAATCCGTGGTTGTATTGAAAAAAAAAAGAATAAACAGAGGTTTAGAAGTAACAGATCTCAGAAGTAACTCGTATGCGTCTACAATCACTAGCAGCCACTAGCAACTACTAAGATTCGGTTGAAATAAAATGTTTAAAATAGACCCCTCTTTGTTTATTTTTTCTTCACTTGTAGCTTTGGTGGGTCTAATGTGGTCGGCTCTTTGGTGTGTTCTGAGCTCATCTACACCTGCTGGAAATAGATACATCAGCGAGACTGAGAAGTTATACATTGAGGATAAACTAGCCGAAGGAGGAGTGTACATCACTGGACCCAGGGTTAATTAATTTTTTCAACTTAGAAAAGACCAGCCAGTAGAATAGTTGTTGGCTAATTTAAAAATACAGATAAACAATGGAAAGAATCAGTACTCTGACTCATTTTTTTGCATTCGTCGTTGTCAGACAAGACAGAAAGAAAGAAATTTTTTCTCCATAAATATGAATATAATTCACATGACTACAGAATTTAAAAGAAAAACAGGAACTGAACGGCTTAACTAGCAGTAATTTTGGTGCAATTAACTTTAAACTAAAGAAAAAATGGGAAAGTTTTCATGCTTAATGGAATTTTACATTTTGAATTAAAATCATAGAGGAGTGCAACTACGTTCAATTTTCAGACAAAAAGAGTGCCATGGAAGGCGATCCTGACTTCTCCCCCTGTGTATGCAATCATAGTGGCCAACTTCTGCCGTAGCTGGACCTTCTACCTGCTAGTGCTGTCTCAAGCAGCCTATTTCTTCGAGGTGTTCCACTTCGAGATGTCTGCTGTAAGTCGATCAGTTATTTTTTATATGGCAGGGAAGAAACGAGACGCTGGTGCTCGTTTAGAACTATGGTTCCATTACAAACCCCATTAAGCATTATGGTGTCGTTACAAACTTCATTTTGAAATGTGGTCCACAAAATGCCTGTGATTCCAGGTAAACATCAGTCGCATAAACATTAAAACTGTCATCGGGCTATTGTTTCGTTGGCTGTTTAACTTCTGTGTTGCCAGTTAATTAAAACTTTTGACAATTGCTTTTTCGAAAACCTTTCAGAATATTCAATTCGGAAATACTACAAGTTTTCATTTCATGCACTTAGTAGATTTCATGTGGTCTGCCGGGGGAACACTTCTTAACAAGTTTTTCAACGGTAATCTAGCTCCGAGGTGGCGTTGCTGAAATTATCAATTTTTAGGTCTAAATCTCAAGCGAAGCTCAAATTGCGTTTTTCATTGGAAAATACTAGGCGGCGCAAGCATAAAAAACTACCAATCATAATTTAAGATTATGACCGTGCATTGACTTTGCGCTAACCGATTTAAACCAATAATGGTTTTTACTTTTTTACCCCAGACAATTGTTCATATAGCGGAGTCCCATTTGACCAGACGCTTCCTGAGTTGATGCTCGGATGTTCGAAGCATGGCACAGTCTAAATTTTTTCAAAGCTCTTTCTAGTTTTTTTTCTAGTTTCTCAAATGTTCGCCGTATTGATGCTTCTGTATGCAATAAGAAGCTTCGACTCCATGTAAATTATTGTGCAGCTACTGCTTAGTCGACAGAAGCCTGTTGATAGCGTTCATAATGCCTACTGGCCTTGTTGTCAACTTGTCAACGGTTTTTTAGAAGTCTGTCCTCTTCCCTGGAATTTAGTTTTTTTTTGTGAAGGTTTATCTAATTTTTATGGAATGAAATCATCTGACCGCCATTTATAGGTGGGTCTTCTGTCTGCACTGCCGCATCTGGTGATGACAATCATGGTTCCGCTAGGAGGGCAACTGGCTGACTTCATGAGAACCAAGAATGTCCTCTCGACCACCAATGTGAGGAAACTGATGAACTGCGGAGGCTTCGGAGGAGAGGCTTTCTTCCTCCTCATTCTAGCATTCACAGAGAGCACATCGGGTGCAATTGCGGCGTTGACACTTGCAGTAGGCTTCAGCGGATTCGCAATCTCTGGTGAGACATATACTTGCCGGTTGACAACATAGTGTTTCTTATCAGGAACGTTTTTTTTCACAGATACAGCCAGTTTTGGGTTGCTCGGTTTCAACCCTTATTTTTTGGCTGTTTACATAAGCGAAGCGTGGTGTATTATTACGAAAAAAAAAATTCCAACCTACGTCGCAAATAAAAGTGCTCATTTGGTGGCACTTTTGGTATATTTCAATTTAAGCATAGGCAATTTAATAGCATATGTTGTTGCTTTATTTTTGGCTAATGTTAGGTCCTGTTAGAAGAAAAACAGTTATTATTAAAATGATTGGGATTCGCTGTTTTGTTTTTTTTTGAGGCGCTTTGGAAAATTTTTGCAATTTCTCAGAATATTCTATTTTTCTTAAAAACTACTGGACTAATTTTCAAAAAAAAATGGGACCAATGGAGAAATCGGCTCCTCATCTATGTGCCTGTATTTTTTGCTAGTCTCTATTCATTTTACCCCACGCTCTACGGCCTTCGAAAGTTTCAGTAGGGTGATTTTTGACCTAATTGTTTTCATTTTTTTCATTTTCTCAGATATTAAAAGCACAAATCTGAGATGAAAGTTTTGATCAAAAGAATATATCATGGGGATCTTCGCTTCTCAAGCGGCTATTCCCCCATTTTTTGACATTTTGATTAATTCGAAGTTTTTTTTTTGATTTTTCTCAAAAACTACGCTGCGAAATTGGAGATTAACAGTTTAACCGAAAGCAAAAAAAACAGTCATGCGACTGTCCTCTGCGCAAGCGTCCATGCTTTACATTTTGATTATGGCATCAAAAAGCTCCAATTTTTGAAATTTTCCCGAAACTTTTTTTCTTCAAAAACTAACCTGCCAATTCTGAGGTTGATAGTTTATCAAACCAGCAGCCAATATTGACTTCGGAAAACTCCATTTTTGAACTTCTTGCCATTTTTTCAATTCATCACGTTTGTAGGGTTCAGTTTAAAATTTTGGGCGTGGAAATCTTCCTTGCATAAAAGGCTATTCCCATGCTTTAGTAGACAAAAGTTTATGCATTTGGGAAAAGTCAAATTTTGAAATCTTTTTCACTTGTTGCGAAAACCACCCAGAGAAATCTGAGAGAAACAATTTACTTGAAAAAGGTGTTAGTAGTTTTCTCCTTTAAATAAGCGGCTAATCCGCTACTTAAACAGAGAAATCACTAGGGTTTTGCGTGAAGTCCATTTTTTGAAATTTTTAAAAGTACGCTTTTTTGTATCAGTAAATGATTTTAAAAAATTAAAACAGGCGCATCCAGCAATAGCTGGGCCACTAGTTAAGCTCCAAGCAGCCGTAGCGCAGACGCCAGAACGTGAGACTCCAAATCAACAGGTCGGAGATTCAAATCCGGAACATTGAAATAGTTTTCGATGTCGAATTTGTGCTATATAGCATTGGCAATTTGATAGAATTTGTTGGTGGCTAGTGTTAGTAAAATTACAAGCGATCGTGGAGCAGATTTTAGGGCGCAATTCTCCTTCTCTCAGATAAAAAACGTTTTTCAAGTTGTATTTTTATTCTTTTCATTTTGCCTTTTCACTTTGTTTTGCCTGTTTAGACCTCTTTTTTGCATTTTCCTCGCTTGTGTTTGCGAAGAGCAGCTTCACCTGTGTCAAATTTGGGATAAATATAGCGTTCTGACTTTTGATTTTGGCAGAGAAATTATTTGGAGTTTCTCGAGAAATTTAAAATACTCTAGAACGATTATTACCTGCTTCAGCATGGGTATTGCCGAATTTTAGATCTACTCCAATTATCGAGCTGTTTTGTATTAACTGTTTCCAGTTAAGAGGCCTATATTTGCGATGGTTTTTCGCCGAAACGTTTAAAGCATGCAATCGAATTGCGCGTTTTGTTTTTGAAGGTTTCAATGTGAACCACCTGGACATTGCACCTCAGTATGCGTCTATTCTGATGGGATTCTCCAATGGGTTCGGAACCCTCTCTGGAATCATCGGACCTCTAGTAGTCGGTTGGATGACTCCAAACAAGGTCAGTTCCATCGCCTGTTTGTTCTGAAAAATGCTTTAAACTAGAAAATGTACGTGTTGTAAATGAGGGTCGTTTTCACCTCAAAATCAGACCCAGACTCAAATTTTAGACTCGCGAGGAATGGCAGCGTGTGTTCGTAGTGGCAGCATGTGTGCATATTTTGGGAGTTATTTTCTACGCAATCTTCGCATCGGGTGAGAAACAACCCTGGGCAGACGAGCGAGCCTCAAATGACGAGTACGGAGACCAGGCGCCATTCTACAACGCCAAAGGATATGGAACAGTCGGGATTCCGGTGGGGGAGAAACTCCAGGATGGGGGAGAAGGCAACATGGGAATGGGAGGGGGCTACGATGATTATCAGCAAGGGGGATATTATGACTCACGTAGCGAACATAATGGTGGATCGATGATGAACTATTCTTGACGCTCATAGAACAACGAATAATTTAATTTATAGTCACCACAACTGCATTCGAGTTATAGAAACGCGACATAGTTTTCTACAGATGGCTAAAAAGGATTTAAAAATGGCGGAAGTTTTTGATGGGCAAAAATCGAGTTTTAAATTGAGTGCCTCGAGATTAACTATGACAAGGCATGGATTTTCACTTTGAAAGATTTGTGAAAAATTGGAAAAAGGAATATAGTAATTGATTGAACATGAATGCAGAATTGATTCGTACAATAATTTAAATTCGTTAATTTTGGATAATCAACTTTGGCAATCGTATAATTTTTTACTTCTATATTCACTCAATGAATTGTGAAGTAAAGTTTTACAGCTCATCCACTAAAGTAATTCGATCAAAGCGCCTGCAGTTATAAACGTTAAAAATATTGAAAATTTATTTATTAGACTAATTTTTTAATTCCAGTTTTTATCAATATCGGGTAACTGAATATAATATTTCAATACGTAATATTTTCGTGTTCATATTTTATGTTTTATATGCGCAATTATTCATATCTTGTATATAATCCCCATTAATTTGTATATTCCAAGAACTATTTTCCGCAATAGTGAAATTCTGGTTTGAAAACCACGAATTTATTTATTCAATGATTAACTACCAGTCGGTGATAAAAACGATTTTTGAGTGTCAGAAAAAATCTTGATTTTCCTCAAATACGTTTAATTGTAATTTGCTCAGATTCACTTTGGGTTCAGGCCACTACAGTTTAAACTATCAAATCTATAGACTAAGGGTAATGAATATTTTACATTTCTTAGTTTCTACAAAAGTTCTTAGGAACCTGAGTTTGAATCCATTGTGCTAGAACTGTTTCTTATGCATCCTAAATTCTGAGTTCGTTTTCTGTTTAGATTCATCTTGTAGTTTTTGTTCGAACACTGCCGAGTAAGAAATGGGTAATTAATTGAGAAGAATTGTATTGAATGGCGTTGATTTGTTTATTTTGTCATCCTCCGTCTTTTGAATAAAATTGAAAAATTCAGTTTTTAAGCATAACGAATTTTAAGTAGCTGGAAAGGTCTGAATGCAGATTTTTTTACATGTTCAAAATAAATTAACGGAGTGAAAACACTTATGTAGGCAGTGTTGTTTTGTTCTACCATGAAGGTAGTGTGGAGTTGAAGCTTGAATTTGAAGACTTCCCTGCGGAAGGAAAACTTTTATTATGCATCCATTTTCTCAAATTGAGCTAATTCCAGCTGATAATTGTCAATTATATCAGATCTTGATATATGATATATCAATTATATATCAATGCCAGAGGAGATCTTGCTCGGCTTGCAAAATTTTTCGGTTCAATCGTTTTTACCTATCAATGTTTAAATTGCTCTTTTTATTTAAAAAAGAATGATTTTTCATGACTTCTCTTTCGTGTTAGTTCATGGATTACTGATATCTTTACCCCCACTTATGTTCATAGGTCACCTAAAACTTGAAATAATTTTTGTTATGGTGGAGGAATGCTATTGGAGCCATTCTTTCCTTGACTTTTCAATGAAGACAAAGTGCTTGGGTTATTTTGAGACCATTTGGGATTTTTCTGAATTGCATTTTTTTACTTTTACTTTTTTACCCTTCTGATTTTTAGCCAAGTGGTACGAATAGAAAAATTAGTCTTTTTGCGTTTCAACTATTCTTTTCTTGGTGAGTATTTGATAGACGTCTCGCTCTAGTATGCGACGAAACGATGGTTCGTATACATGAGATATCTAGAGTATTGCAACCGGAGTATTGCAGCCTAGAGTATTGCAATCTAGAGTATTGCAACGCGATTCATCACCATATTTAACAGGATTCATCTCCATGGCGTTATTGTTAACAGCATTTGTCTCCATGGCTGAACAGAATTGCTCGACAAAAATTTTTATCGAGTATATTTGCATCTGGATAACCCGCTGTGTTTACACAAGGATAGTAAGTCTAGTTTAGTTACGAGGTTCGCTTCTCAGCCCATTTTTTGCAAAAAAAGTGATCCTTTTTGTGGTAGTTTCGTTTTGTAGTTTTGGCAGATGGCTTAATATTCTCCAATTTATTCGACTAGTGGTAGGTTTCTGAAAGCGACAATTGTGTGTGACAGTAGACTTGAAAAAAATAAATGTCCGTGGTTCGATAGATGTGCTTTTTTCTTTAAAAACAACTACTTTTTTGCATTTCTCTGACCCTTTTAAAACCAATTCTTAGGCTGTTTTGCTTGTATTTGCGAAGTTAGGCTGCTCATCTGAGTCGAAAGTTTAACTTGGTTCTAGATTAACCATCTCCACTTTTGTTTAAATAAGTGATGCAGATTTTCAATTATACCGGTGTTGATAATTTTTGCTTTATTTCCAGCAGTCCTTCAATTTTTTTAGCGTATTTGATTTTCCACGGTTTGAATTTTGATTTTTTCGAAGTTCTGTCTTTTTCCTTTGTATAAGGATTGTGAAGTCCGCTACTGAACAGCAGAAGTCTAAAGGCGAATGGAATGGCTTTGTCTCAAAAGTGGACTTTAAGTTTCTCTTTCCTAATGGAATAAAACAATTTTATTGACATATTACGTTATATTCAAAGAGCGTACACGTGACAAACGTTTTTTTTTCTGAAATAACTTTTTTCTCTTGATTCTTGCGTTTTTTGACAATTTAATAAGCCTCTGTTGTCTTTGTTTTCATTTTTCATTGTTTATGTTCAGATTTCGGTTTATATTATTAGGTCAGGTCATACACCATGCTTTATTGTTCCGACCTTTGAAAATGGGGAGGAACTTTGTATTCGGTTGTGTTTTAGTTTTTTTTTTCATTAGTTTTCCACGCAAAATCAGCTACCAAAAATAATCATCGGATAGGATTGAGTGATATATCATATTAAAGCCCTTTCAGTCGTGATTCGGACGACGTTCAAAAATTTCAAAATTTTTTTTCCAGTGTCGAGAAAAACCGATTTGAAATTTTCTATTTCTGGTTTAATTTCGAGCCAATTAGTGTGCGGTCTAATCTCAAGCTAAGGAGTCATGTAGGCTTACAAAAGCTGATTTAAGCTCAGTTAAAGCTATGAAAACTTAGTTTTACTCACGTAAAGGTCAATTTTAGTTTTTTTAGCTCAATTTTGGGAATCAAAAACTTGAAAATTCAAAAAATTTCCGCAAAAATGTTTGAAGGCTTTTCAGATATATATTTTTTTCGTTTTTCTTCAAAAACTGTTTTTTCAATTGACTGATTTTATGCTTACTCTCAAATAAGTCTAACTTCTATTTTTTCGTTCAGATCTTTTTATCACAACCTGCAGAAAAAAAGACACTTTTGAAAGAAAACACTTTCGCATTTTTAAGGCAGGTCGGAACACTTGTGCTTTTTGCACAATAACCGGCTATCCTTGTTTCATGTTTATTCGTTGCTTTGATCATAAATTAGCTGAAAATCAATTTTTCAGCAGCTCAAATTTTTATGATAAATTTTTTGTCTCACCAAGCTTCTAACCTAATGTTGGCTTAGTTGCCACATGGTAAACATTTCATTGTTTTCTTAAAACCGAAATTTTTTCGTCATGCTTTCTTCAAATTGAATTTTACATTAAAGCAAATCGTGATAAAGAAATTGGAAGACAATTTTTCAACTTAGTGTTTTTCGTCAATATTTGTTAATTTTTATCACAATAGTAAGACAAATAGACGATGCTTTTTCTAACTTCTTTTTATATTGCAAGCATGGTAGTGAAATTAAAGAGTATAGTCCTAATTGTCTTTTCGCCGTCTTATATCTATTTTCTAATTGTGAACAACCTCGGAATAAATCAAGAAACTAATCCAAAAAGCACCGCATTTTCCACAAATTCGGATGAATACTTTTTTGAAGGTATATTATAATGTGGCGGATGCACTTGATCTGATCTAAATAAGCTGAGCAGCAAAAATTGTGTTGTCAACTTTGATTTGAATCCGGGTTTATGAGCAATCAGTCAGATTTTTTTAGTCGCTATTCAAACCAATACGCGACATGCGCAGAGAAGAGTTTTGTCCTATGCTTAGAGTCTCGCACACTAACCTCTAATCCACGAAATATTAATAGATACTATTAACCACTTAGTCACAAATAAAGCAGAGAACAGATGCTAAACAGTTTCCAATGCTACAGTGGAATTACCAAATAAGAAAACACTTTTAATATACACATTTAAATGCGAGTTAGGCTTGAAAAAAAGAATGTTCGTAATAACACACTAAGCTGATCGTGAAAGTGTAAAAATGATGCAATTCGTTAAAAATGTAACCGAGAATTCATTGGTTTACTTATGCCAAAAAATTTAATAATGCTTTTTGTTAAGATTTATACGTCGGCTTAGAAATTGTCTATTAAGCTTCGTTTGCAAACTGGATAGTACAGTGGCTGACATTTTTAGCTCAATGGTCAGAGGTTGGGGTTCAGTTCCCGTTGAGATCATTTTTAAAACGATTGAGGCCAGATAAATTAAACCTGCCAATCGTTGCAAAAAGTAATCGACAGATAACCTCATGAATAGACTGATATCGTGGTTGCAATGGGAATGTTTATAGTTTGAATGAACTAATCAATTTTTTGCTTTTGCAAACTCTGTGCTTTTTCACTCATAAAAATAATTGCATGCGCTTTATTTATTCTTAAGATAAATACGTTCTTCAACAGTTGATCAACCAGTTTTTGAACAGCAGAAGAGCTCTCGATTTTGTCATCCTCCGTCTTTTGAATGAAATTGAAAAATTCAGTTTTTAAGCATAACGAATTTTAAGTAGCTGGAAAGGTCTGAATGCAGATTTTTTTTCATGTTTAAAATTAATTAACGGAGTGAAACACTCATGTAGGCGGTGTTGTTTTGTTGTACCATGAAGGTAGTGTGGAGTTGAAGCTTGAATTTGAAGACTTCCCTGCGGAAGGAAAACTTTTATTATGCATCCATTTTCTCAAATTGAGCCAATTCCAGCTGATAATTGTCAATAATATCAGATCTTGATGTATGTTATAGCAATTAGTTATGTTATAGCAAGTTCAGAGGAGAACTTGCTTGGCTCGCAAAATTTTCGGTTCAATCGTTTTTACCTATCAATGTTTAAATTGCTCTTTTTATTTAAAAAAGAATGATTTTTCATGACTTCTCTTTCGTGTTATTTCA